CAGGCACACGATGTCCTAGGAGCCAGGTCCCAGATCTGTTCGAGGCCTCCAGGGCAGTGTTACTGCCAGCTGTTGGAGCTAGTGGACAAGGACTCTTGGGCCTGCACACACCTGGCGCATGTCAACCTGCAGGGCTGCTGTAGAGATGGTGGGAGGGGCATTTCATGCAAACACCCTGAAACAGCCACCAGAGTCCCCAGTGCAGGCAATGGTGACCTCTAGGCACAGTTCACTCCTTGCCCCAGGAGCTAGATTAGCGCAAATGCCCACCAGGCAGCCTGGGAGCACATGTTCCCTTTGCTACTGTGTCACTGACATGGGCCATGGGCCTCAGAGGTAGATCCTGAAGAGTTGCGGAGGGACAGAAAGCCATTCATTTCTACGTCCCAGACACTCCAGCCAAGACAGTCTTAGAGGTGGCACTGTCACTCACGTTCAACCCACCCAGGAGGTGTGGGGGGAGAAGGCCCTGACCACCCTGCAAAAAGCACTGACTCTGGGCACCTGCGGCTGGGTTGCTCCTACAGGGCATGTCGCACACCACCAGGCAGCAGCTGTCCCCGTTTCTTCAGCAATGCGGCCAGACGATGTGGATCCACTGACACTGCACCGAACCCTCCTCCAGAAACCAAGGCCAGGAGTGCCACCAGGCGCTGCACACCTCTGAGACGGCCAGATCCCAACAGGAGCAGGATAGCTCCCTAGGTGTGGACAAAGAGCTTGCCAACGCCACTCCTGACCTCAGGGACAGTGCCATCCCCTGCAGATACTGCGGGATGTCCCACCCAGGAGGGTGGCTACTGGCATCTAGTGGGGAGCAGTCAGGAATACCAAACATCCCATGCATGGCACAGGCCATTTTGAAAGATCAGTAGTGCAGCTATAGAGCAGCCAGCCAGGTGACAAGGAGGACCCGGCTCGAGCTGAACTCTGCACTGCACAGTCCAGGAGTAGGCTGCGCAGGTTCAAGTCCTGGCGGGAAAGCTCCCTGTGCAGAAGGCACTTAGTGCTGCCTAAGACTGACTGCCCGGGGCTGGCACAGCCAAGGCTGGACAGCCCATAATGGACCATAATGGTGCTGCGACTGTCTTTGGGTTGTCACAGCAGAGGGACAGATGCACCACCAGGCCACTCCTGCACACTGCCCAGAGGGACTCCCACCCACCAGGTCAGAATGTGCTCAGGTCCCAAATCTACTAAGTCAAGACAAGACTGGAATCCACCCAAAGGCTGCTAACAGGAGGAAGAAAAGCAGGACAGGCCAGGAGTGTGGAGGTGTACGGGTTTCCACAGCTCTGACCCCCGTTTCTCAGGCCAGACTGGGGTAGGGACACATGGAGCACAGCTGAAGCAGCCACCTCTTCAGCCGTGGGATGAGGGGGGCCATGTCCCAGCATGTGGGGCTCCAGTAGCCAGGACGCATCAAGGTGGCAGCACCTGCGCTCAGCTCTGGCTGGCTCTCCACAACACAGGGCAGGGGGGCCCTCAAGCTGTGAGAACAGCACAGAGAGCTCCTAGTGTCTGGGCCACCGCCTGCAAGGAGGGACTGACCTCATCATAGCGATACATCAGCTTCAGGCCGCGGCAGGACTTCTGTTTCTCCACGTGGCGCAGGGCACACTCCAGGCAGAACACCACGTTTTCGTTCTCTTGTACCACCTGGTGGGGAAGCAACAGAGCAGAGGGCTGGGGACTCCAGGGCAGGGCTGGGCACAGCCTGGGGGAGCCACCAGGGACTAGGAGCGGGTGCACACAGCAGGGCAGCCTGTCCTGCCACCTACTGACCAAACCAGGAGGATCAGGGACTTTCAAACATGGACATGGATTAGAAACCCAAAAACCTGACGGCCTAGAACAGGGTCTCTATAAAGTGGATGAAGGAGCTGGACGTCAGGGAGCCCCTGACCCCCAGAGGCCCCCCCACTGCAGTCCCCCGAGCGCCTGGTCAGCGGCCTAGCCGAGATGAGAGGAAGCACCCACGCTTGCTCACGGCGCTTGCGTTCAGAGGGCGTGTGCTCTTCCCTCCAGAGTCCCTGGGGCTAAGTGACGGGGGCGAGGGTTGGCGGAGGCGGTGGGACCCATCCGGGGGGTTCTCGCAGGAAAGACGGTTTCAGAGTCACTCAGAAGCAGCTCAGTCAATGCAGCTGGGGGCACAAGTTTTCCTCTGCTCCCACTAAGGGACCCAGAGCTCCAACCAGACCCAGAAACCCTCCCTTTGGGGCTCATGGCCTCCACGACCCAGGCCTGTTCGAGGAGCAGCTGGGGAAAACCTGAAGCTTTTGGATCCAAGTGTTTTGCAGCCCAGAACAGGAAATAAGCCACCAGGGCCAGGAAATGACTTCCCCATGGCAGTGCCACCTCCAAAAGACACTGAGGGCTAAAGGACAGGAGTATGAAATATAGAAAACGAGCACACACCCCCGCCCTGGTGACCAAACCATGAAAATTATAAATGAAACCCCAACCTACTCCTGGGAGGTCACATAACATCATGCTCTGAGGACTGCCAGGTGACAGCTCTGAGAGCTGGTCTTGAACTTCCGGCCTCAGAACTGTGGTGGGAGCCGTGAGTCTACAAGGCAGCCTGAGCTGAGGGCCCCTCACCTCTCAAAATTTCTGAACCTTGCAAGTGTTCCAAAGAGCATCTGACTTGGCTAGGCCGGGCTGGGTGGCCCTGTCCTCTGCAGGCAGTGGACATGGTGGGGCAAGCAGAATGTGCACCTCAGCCCTGGCCTGCCACCCCAGCAGATATGGTGACTGTGTTAAGTGGGGGGGCGGCTGCTGCCAGCACGTGAGGTGCAAGGCACACACTTGGCAGAGCTGGTCTGTGCCAAGGAAGGGGCAGATCAGTCCGTGTAGCAGGGAGGCTAGGACAGGGCCATTAGGGGACTATGTGCCAGACTAGGGCCCCAGCTGGGCACATCCAGG